CTAAAGCTTCTCTCTCAATCTTGGTCAGAGCTAGTTTTTGTAATGCAGAGACTTTTTACTGGTCAAAGCACTGAGAATAAGCAACTATGAGTGCCTGACAACTCATAGGAGCTATGGTCACCTGTACAAGTTTCAAGCCATTTAAAAATTACAGCACAGGGCTAGGGAGATGTCCCTTTGGAAAGGACCCAGGCTGAGTTCTCATATGAACATGGCGGCTCACGATCACCTATAATTCCAGTCCCAGAGAATCAAACTCTGTGTGTGTGTGTGTGTGTGTGTGTGTGTGTGTGTGTGTGTGTGTGTGTGTACACATCAATATACCCATACAGCAAATATGCATATAGGCAGCACTGACTGGATCCAGGGGGTTTTATATATATATATATATATATATATATATATATATATATATATATAGATATAGATATGTACACAAGATTACTTAGCAATAAAAAAGTAACAAAGTACTGACTACAACAACATAACATTCTAATAAATGAAAAACAAAACACGAAAAACCACATATTATGTGGTACTATGCATACAAATGACCAAAACAGTCCAGTCTATAAAGAAGGATGACTTGAGCTTGTAATGAGATTTCTTTCTGGGAAGATGAAAATGTTCCATAAATTAGAACTGGATGATAACTACACACCTAAGTAAATACATTAACAACCTTATTGGGATAGCTAGGAAATAGGCTGAGATGGGAGACTTGCACAAGGGGTCCTTATTTCGGTGGCAAATATGGAACCATTTATATTTTGTATTTCAAGTTCTAGAAGAAGCCTCATTAATGTCCCTCTACCCTAGTAACCTAATTTAGGACTGACTACCAGTTAGTTCCTCCAGAGAAAATTAACCAGCTCTGCTCCTACTTCCTGAACAGCCAAAACCAAAACAAAGTCTATTACTTTAGGATGCACTGAACCTTTCCTTTCCTAAATCTTCAAATCCACAGATTTTAACAAAGATACAAACCCTTTATACCATAATTCAAGGGACATTTCAGATAGCAGGGTCAAACATACCCAGGGAAAATAGGTGGAGACAAAATCAGAACTGAAATCCAATGAAAGCTAGACTGGAAAAGTGCATGAATTTCAGGTTCCTCCTTTCTATGAAAGTTATCTTCTATACTATACTATAATTTAGTATTCCTTAAATTATTACTGGACAGAGAATTTAACCATCTGGCTGTACTTTAGTGATGTTAACTCTAATGCAGCATCAGTCAATACTAAGAATTTTTAGGGTGGTGGGAGTAGGGAAGAACTATGTAGCCCTGTCTGGCCTGCAAAATCAGATCTGCCTGCCTATGCCTCAAGTGTTGAGGTTAAAGGTGTGTGACATCACATCTAGTTGGAATCACCATTTCTTAGGTTGATTCCCCAGAGTCCAAGGTGGGACAAAGTTTTCTCTCAAATATTCTCAATTCTAAAATGGAATACCAGCAGTTATTTGAATGAGGACAAAAAACGTTGTTCAAAGGGATATAATTCATGTAAATAGGAGCTTAGCACAGTGCTTGATGAATAGTAAGAATTCAACATAGTAGCCTAAGTTATGGAAAAGTTTGATTTTGAGGGTGATCATCACTTGGCCAGGAGCTGGTGGCGCATGCCTTTAATCCCAGCATTTGGGAGGCAGATGGACCTCTGAGTTCAAACCCAGCCTGGTCTACAGATCGAATTCCAAGACAGACTCCAAAACAATACAGAGAAATCCTGTCTGGAAAAAACAAACAAAAAAAGCAATCATCACCAATAACTGATAGGTTTCTAAAGATCGTCCATAGTAACTAAAGAACAAGAATTATATACCTAATGTATCTAATGCAAAGTGGTTAACAACATTCACTAGTAGATGTAGATAAATTGAAACAATGGCTGCTAAAGGTTATCTGGGTTCTACTTGTCTGAGTAGTTTAATCAATTCTAAAAGTTATAGGACATAAATGACCAAATTTAATTTTTCTTTTGAGGGGTGGTTTCAAGGCAGGGCTTCTCTGTGTACCTCTTGTGGTCCTGTAACTTACTCTGTAGGCTATGCTGGCTTCAAACTCAGGGATTAGTTTGCCTATCTCCCAAGTGCTGGGATTGAAGTAATAAAAAGAATTCATCAGAACTAGGCACCCTGGAACACCCTGCAATCCCAGCACACTGGGAGATGAAGGCAAGAGTAGTTAGAAAATCAAGGTCATCCTGTGCTACATAAGGAATTCCAGACCCGCCTCTGCCTCCTGAAAGCTGGGATTAAAGTTAGCCACTGACACCCAGCTCTCGGTTTCTTAATCTAAAAACTTACCCACCAAAATTGCTTCCCAATTTCCATCTTAAATCCCTTTTATGTCTTCACTGTCCCTCTCCAGGCTACAAATCAGAATTAGCAGCCCAGAAGGAAAGCTTCACTAACTAGATGTGTGATGAAGTCCCAAGACACACAAACCCTGCCCACACGTGTAACACTGCACAACTCCGCTAGTGTTAGTGGCTTCCTTGCCCTGAAAACAGCTAGCAAGGATGGAAAGACAGCCACACGGATGTACGTTACATAACAACGATCAACTGAAATAAATGCTACTCCCATGTCACAGACAGGGTCCGGGGGCTGGGGACCTGCCAAGGTCACACTTCTGCAGGGACACACAGCTCTTTCCAGTACTCAGTCAAGCTCGCGCTCCTCGGGTGGCGCCGTGGGACACTCCCCTCCTTCGCCCACCGCCACCGATCCACAGGTGTCCCGGTGTCGTCGCGACCTTCGGAGGCCCGGGCAGCGGCAGGCCCAGCCCGTAGCCTTTTGTTTCCACCCGACTCACCTCCGAGGGCGCGGCGGCAGGCCCGGCCGGGCCGCTAGAGGCCAGCTCCCGTCGGCTCAGTAAGCTTGGCCGGTGGCGGCAAGATCCGCGAAGGCGTACCCGGCGGCTTCGGCGCCTCCCCTCTTCCGCAGGCGCCAGAGGGGGCGCTTCACCCTCCTCGCGAGACAGCGGGGACCCCGGCGGCGGCGGCTGCGACCCCTATGACGTAGAACGCTCATCACCATAGGCAGTTTGGGGGCGGAGAGAAGGCGAGGCCCACCCCCTCCCGCCCGCCCGCGCAGCCAGACAGGCCCCACCCCCACGCCCCGGCGCGTGCGCCGTGGAAGGAACCCGCAGGGGGCGGGGCCCAGGGCAGCCGCCAGACCCTGCCCAGCCCCCACGGCGGGGGGCGCCTGTCTTTGGGGAGGAAAGGCAAACTCATCACTGTCAAATATGCGAATAAACCGAGACCTCGCCAACTTCGACGACTCCCTATAATTCTCTCTAGTATAACATGGATTGGGCCGAGTCCCACAGAGCCCTCGTCCTCATGTCTTTTTTAGCTGGGATGGACACCAGGCGTCGAGCCCTTGCCCAGCCATTACCTTTCTCCCAGCGGCCTGTCTCCCCTTCCCACTCCCCAAAATCCAGACTAAAACTGCCTGACACATCCGCGCCCAAAGCCGCGCAGTCCAGGCTCTGCCAGCCAGGCCTCCACTGTGAACACCGCCAGCATCCTCAGGCCCAGCTGCTCGCCTGCCAAACTGCCCTTCTTGGTACTTAGTATTTCATACTTGCTGAGGTCCTAAACTCAATTAAACGTCCCGTCTACACTTGTTGACTGGCAGATCCACCATGCGGGTAGCATATTTTTTAAAATGCCACATATTTAAAAATATTTAAAGCAATAAGCGACAGCATTTTTACTAGACGTTTTTGATGAATGGCCGAATTAACAGTTTCTAACGATTCCTTAGTTACACAAGGAGTGGATTTTGTTCAAACATTAACATATAAACGTTTATCCACATCTTGTGGAAACCGATGTGGGACGGCAACTTTAATTCTTCCAGCGTGACTATTTTCAAATACGTTTACATGCACACGATGGCACACTATTTTGCCTTAATACAGCACTTCGACGGGAGGAAAAAAAGAGAGTCGAGAAATGTCCATCTAAGCGCAAAAAACAAGCGCAATTTTAACATTTTTCTCTTTTATTTCCTCCGCTGCCTGAAAGGCGGGCTAGGCCCGGATCACGTGACGCTCTGCAACTCCGGGCGGAAGCGCGCCTGGAACCGCAGAAAGATGGCTGCTGCAGCGGGGTGGACGGCTCCCGGGAGCCGGCTCTAGGGCCCGCGCCACCCCGTCCCTCCTGCTCCCTTACCATGAGGCCAGTGAGTCGCCGCACCCTGGACTGGATTTACTCCGCGGTAGGTAGCGGGGGCGATGGAACTCCCAGGCGCCGCACCCTATGGCCCGCGAGGCAAAGGCCGACTGTTTGCTTGCAGCTCGGAACTCTAAAACCTAGTCCTAAATTGAGCGTTTACGCCCTGCCCTCGGCTCCGCCTCTTCCTGGAGGACACGCTTTTCCGCCTCTGACGTCAGGGCTGCCGCTCCACTGGCCTGGAGTCTGCCTCTGAGTGTCTGACAGTCTGCTCACACCTGTAGCTGGTAAACTGGCCTGAGCAGGCAAAGTACCTAGCTCATTGGTTTTTCTTTTTGCCTTCCTTCCCCTCTTTTAGTTGCTACTTGTGATCGTCTTGCTCTCCTGGGGATTCGTCATCTATGCATCAACTGTAGCTGCACGACGACAGCTACAGAAAGCGTTTCCAGACAAATTCTTCGAAATGAATGAACTTTGGTAATTCCCAGCAAACACTGTTCTTTTCCTCAGATGGCACCTATGTAGACTTAAAAGTAAAATTCACAACACAGAATTGTGTGTGGTCTTTTGTGATAATCGTTGGCATGCTAATTTTTCAGATAGCTCAAACAGCCCCTTTGTATCAGGTCACAGATTTTCATTCTAGTCCATCAACCACTCATTAACCTCATGCCACATCAGTGTGTAAACAAATCTATCCTGTGACTAAAACGTGTTTTGCATTGTTTATCGAAACGTACAGGGAAAAAGCAGCTGATAGCTTTTTAGAATTTGTCTTTTTACTGTCAGTCTCAAGAAATACAACAACACTCTGAGAATAAGCTTTATTAGTTATTTTTACAGGAAACAGATTCAGTAAATACGCACTACATGAAAACTTTTGCTGTTACACAAGTCTTTTATGTTTTAAGTGCTCTTTAATGATGTTGATCAGGAAAATCTTTCATTGGTGGAATGACTTCTCCAGTCTCCAGAATTGTATCACCCTAGAAAAACAAGTAAATGTTTAATAGATTGTAAAATATTTCAACATCTATTTAACACAATAAATTACTGTAAACATATTTTACATTTTGCTAACTCAAATTAAGCCAGACATAGTAGTGCACACACATTTAATTCTAGCACTCTAAAAGAAGAGGCAGGTGGATCTTTGTAAGTTTGAAGCCAGGCTAGTCTGTACAGCAAGTTCCAGAATACACAAGACTACATAGAGAGGCCCTATCTCAAACAAACAAACAAACCTTCAAAATTATTTTCCATTTTACTTTGAACATTTCAATTTGGGGGCTGGAAAGATGGTTCAGTGGTAGAAACTCACTATATAGCACTAGCTATCCTGAAATGCACTATGTAGACCAAGCTGGCCTCCAACTTACAGAGATCCTCCAGACACAGCACAGGAGTGCAGGGATTAAAGGTGTGTATAAGCACACCCATCTTAATTTAAATTTGAATTAACGAAAGGTATAGTTTCAAGCTTATGCTATAGTCCTTTTCCCATGAAAAGCTGGGAGTTCCTTCTGCTCTAGAGAAGTCAAGGTCATAAAACAAAGGTTGAGAAATACAATGTCCATTCCTTATTTTCAAATTCAGTTGCTATTCTCCTTTTTCCTCCTACAATAATACACAAACACACTTAAGCTGACAGTAAGAAAGGATCATTTTATTCTAATGAGCTTGACAATCATTTGTAGAATGGAAGGGGGAATAATGTACAATCGAAAACCTGGAGTTTTCAGACTTACTGGGAATATTCTGGGCTTCGTGGCAACGATGGCATATGGTTTCGTCTGCAATAAAAATAATTCTGTATAAATTACAGTAGAATCACTTGTGAAAATGTTAGCTTGTATCCCCAATTTTTACTTAATCCCCTAATTTTCCTAGAACTCTGGGCCCATGTAACTGTTAATTCAACATACCTACTTATGTCAATACGCATCTCAAAGTTAACCACATTCACAATTTAACTTCCCCTAGCCCCACAACTGCTCCTCCTCATGTTCCCTATCTTAGCTAATGGTATTCCCTCAGTGCTAAAAGTCAGAAGCTGTAACTCCTCAGCAGACACTACTGGAACCACCTTGCTCAATACCTTGTATCTAACTGATTTGCCCCAGCTAACAGTACCTCCTTTGCCCATGCTCTTGACATTTTGCCAGGACTGCTCCTACAGCAACCACTAGCCAGTCCGTTTCAACTCATGCCCCCAACAACACAGGTAGCACGACCCTTTCAGCATGGCTCACATCTTAGCTTACAATTTCATATTAAGGAAAAAAAGATGGAATCCTTGCTGTGCCCTCTAAAACCCTCCATGATTTCACCGCTATTTGACTTTCTATACTCTCTCCCTTATTGTACCTTAGTCACAGTGAGTCCCTAGCTATTCGTCAAATCAATAAAGCCTGTTTGTGTCCCAAGACTTTAGTGCTCATTGATTCCATTAACTGAAATACACTCTTCCTGGGTATCTGCTTGTCCCCTCACCTCATTCCAGTTAGGTATCTTTTAGTATCACTTCTACAGAAAGGCCCAATTAAAACAGCAGCTCCCTGTTATTCTCTATTCCTTTACCCTGCTCAATTCCACTTCTAGAGAACTGATCACCTCCTATAACCATATATGCCTCTTATTCCAAGATAAGAACAAGTATTTCACTAGGCAGGGACACAATTTGCTGTGTATATGGCTACATCTCTATTTTCGGTGCTTTGCATATAAAAGGTTCTTATTATATAAATGTAGAACAAATAAACTCATAAAGTATGTATGTCTGTCTGCACAAGATATCACACCAAAATATTTAAAAGATAATTTGCATGATATAAGACAAGGGTACCAAGATTGTTAGAGAAACTTAGATTATGATACAAAGAAAACAAAATGTCTTTATTATATGAACTGTGGCCAGGGCCAGGGAGGTGACTCTGGGGAAAGCATACAGACCTTGCGACTAGAGTTCCATCTCTAGAACCCACGTGAAGATAAAAGGTGAAAAACCAACTCCATAAAATTGTCCCTTGATCCCCACAAGCATTATGGGGCAGCTGTACCCCTACCCACACAATAACAATACATATTTATATTTTTTATCCTAAAAAAGAACTGCTGCCAAAGAAGACACTAAATGTCTTCAGAAAAATGATGAATTCAGTTAATGAAACAAATGTTACTATAATAAAGCTGCAGAATTTACCTAAACTGAGAAGAATAAGAGATAAGTGGCCCCAGATCCCACAAAACATAAAATGTTGAAATATGACCACTAAGCTAAGCATATGCCCTCAGCAGACGCTATCGGAACCACTAAGCTAAGAAAGCATGAATCCCTCAGAGAAGTAACCATATTAATGTCTCTTTTTGTCAACCCAGTACTGTAGCTTATTAAATATACTTCTGCTAGAGAGCAAATGTCTTCAATCCTAAGACAAATTGGCCACAGAAATGATAAGGAAACTACAATCAATATAAATAGGTAAATGTCAACTTTTAAAAGTTGGGACAGGCCCTGCTTCACATGACCTGTCAGATCTACATGACCCCAACTGGATGGCATTCCCCTACATATGGAATTGGGATGGGGGGGGATGGGAGGGGAGGGTGGTTAGAGTGCATGTGAGAGGGTAAAAGGGAGGGAAAGAGGGAAGGAGGAAGGGAGGGAGGGAGGGAGAGGGAACTGGGATCGACATGTAAAATAATAAATTAAATTAAAAAGAAAATGCTTTGACTCCAAAATTTAAGTTCAAGGACAAGTTACTGGGGAAAAGGATTTCTATTTTTGTTTCCACAGAAAATGAAAAGATGTGGATTCCTTTGAGACTAATGTGGTTTGATCACGCCAGACCACCTGAAAGAGAGTACCAGGTGATCCTACATTCAAAACAGCTGGACAAAGCAGCCTTACAGACTACAGCCAGGATTTCTGAATCTTCTTTGAATCCCCCATGACAGCGCCCCTTGCCAGCAGGAAGTAGTTTGGAAAGAACGACGCCCAAATTCCCAAATATTGTCTATAAATGTTTGTTTTCATTTAAATGGACTTGGTTATATAAAATAAATAAAAAAAATATAAAAGTTGGGACAGGACTGGAGAGATGGTTTAGATGTTGAAAGCACATACTACTGTTGCAGAGGACCAGAGTTCAGTTCCCAGCACCCAAATTGCTTGGCTCAGAGTTGCCTCTAACTCCAGTTCCAGGGAGATAACTCCTCTGGCTTCCATGGGCATCTGTACTTATGTGTACATATCACATATACACAGACAGGCAGGCAGGCATATATGCACATGCACACACAAATGGAAAATCTATCTTTAAAAATTTAACTTAGGGTGGGTAGGGGAGGGAAGTGGATCTGGGAAGAGTTGGGAAAGAGATGAATATAATCAAAACATTATAGTTGTATGAAACTCTCATACAAACCCCAAAGAACCTAGGTAACAAAGAGAGACATACATGGATCCACCTAGGAAGGAGAAAAAAACAAGATCTCCCAAGTAAGTTGGGAGCATGGGGGTGGGAGTGGGCAGAGGAGAGGGTGGAACAGAGAAGGGAGGAGGGAGAAGGAATAGGGCAAAATGTATACCTCAATAAAAGCAAGAGAAAATGGTAACTAAAAAAAAAAAAAAAAAAAAAAAAAAAAAAGTTGGGATGGTCCATATTCTATTGTCAGAGAAATTATAATATAAAAGAATCTGGCTACTTCTAACAATAGGCTCAGGATTATAATGAAATGTATAATGAACACACTTCTGATTTTAAAGTTGAAAAAAACCTACTCCTTAGAGTAGAGGCATCAATATACCATACAAATACCTAAAACTAAGATTGAAAAAATAAAAATTTATAAATGTGTTTAAAGTGCTTAAGAGATTGTGTTTACACTTGTAAGTGGAATTGCCTTAAGAGTTCAAATTCGATTAGTTCCAAGGTGGTAAGGACAGAATAAGCTCGTTTGTATTTTATCAGAGGCATGGCCATTTAAGCAAGATAAAAGTACACTTTAAAAGATAAAGCTAACAAACTAAATTCCCAGGCAATATTTTGACCACTTCTGTACAATAGCTGCTTTCAGATGTTTCCAACCTTCCTGCCAGAAGGCAGGCAGTCTTCTTCTCTAGAGGTCACCATGCTAAAACAGGGAGGAAATAAGTAAGAAATAAATAAGTGACAGGAAGAGGTCCATGGAGTTGCGCATGGCTTTCAAGTCCATCAGTACAGAAATGTAAACCATTCTCTGAACCTTAGAGATATAAACTGTTAGTCCATTTTATTGTTGCAGAAGGGCTTTTGGCTGGTTTCTGAAATGAAAACAACCCAATTCAAATCCCTACGAGTCCATACTAACGTTACTGCGGACACATCAGACAGGCCATGACAACCTGGAGCTTTCAGGGACTATTATGGACATGGAAGCATGTAATTTCAAATCACTTTGCTTTTTTTCCCCCAACTTCTAATGCATACACCAAACTGCAAAAGCCTCCAGCTGATTTGCCTGGCACAGAACTTTGCTTCCTTTGGTCTGTGTTAGATTTTTTTTTTACATTTCCTTCACAACCATTATGTCATTTTCCCATTTAACAGTGGAAATTTCAGCTGGGTGTGGAAGCTCATGGATGTCATCAGGTGAAAGTGAGGAGAACCACAGTTCAAGGCTAGCTTGCAACGTATGAGATGTAGTTTCAATGCATGCACATTGAAGAGTTCCCACAGTTTGTTACATGTACAGCTCACCTCTTCTCCCTAGATTGGAAACTTTCTCTAATCTGGTCTCAGCTTATTGGATCAATAGAGAGAGATATCTCCTCAGGCTGAGGACTTATGATCACGCTCATCACTGACTTTTTGTCTTTCCTTCTAACTGGCATAACTTGTCCCCTCCACACTCTTCTAACAAAATACATATTCCTGGATGTCCAAGACTTACTTTTCTATATTCTTTCTATAACAAAAAGAGGGCATACTAGGTACTCCATTCTGGTTGCTCAAAAGATATAATGTGGGCCAGGAAGATAGCTCAAAGGGCAAAAAAGACCACATGGTAGAAGTGGAGAACCCAGGTCCTTCTAGCTGTGTTCTGACATTCTCCAACTTCACAATCTTACTTTCAAAGGATGCAAGCCACTAATCTCGCTCCACTGGACATTCCCTCCAATAGGGCTTGTTTTATGACTCCTGGTAACTGAATTCAGATGATGAACGTTGGGCAGCAATACCACAAACCTGGGGCAGCTTTCTTCTTGCTGCTTCTGTCAAGCAGCACAGTTTCAGTTGTCTCATGGCTACAATACTGAGATGCTGCCTGCTAGAGTGTAACTGAGGACAGCACTGTTCCCAGGTCTTCTCAATGCAGATTAGTGAACATGTATACAAGTGCACATTCACACACATGGTTCTCTATCTATGAATGCACAGTAATAACTATGAATTCATACTAATACTTCCAATTCTAACTCCATTTCCCCAAAGTGATCAAAGTGATCTCCCTTTTCATTTTCATGGAAATAACCCTTTCTACCTGTGTACTTACTGGTTCAAGCTCCTCACAAATCTGTCACCATCACCAATCACCACCCATTTCCAAGTTTAGCCTTCACACCTTATTTGGGCTCTGATGTCTTTTTTTTTTTTTTTTTTGGTTTTTCGAGACAGGGTTTCTCTGTGGTTTTGGAGGCTGTCCTGGAACTTGCTCTTGTACATCAGGCTGGTCTCGAACTCAGAGATCCACCTGCCTTCTGCCTCCCGAGTGTGCCACCACATTCTTACATTCTGCTACCCTACACCAGGCTGCTGTCACTAAGACTTCCCAAATAGGCATGCTCAGCCTACTCTTAACAACTCTCACTGAACACAATAATGCTCTATTTACACTATTTGAATTCCAACAGTCAACACAGTCATCATCACTGGTCCTTCTTCCATGACGTCCCGGGAACTATATGCCCTTCTCCTACTGTCTACAGTCCAACACCATATCCAACCATACCGTTATCCCTTGTCTTTAAAATATGGCAAGGGGCTCCATGTAAGATCTTTCCGTGAAAATGTTAGTATTTTTGGTCACCCTAGATTCTAAAGAAAGAAAATTATGAAAATCAGGCAAAAACAAAGGAAAGGAAAATGAAACAATGACAAAACCTGTTTTGAATGATATGCCATACCTGACCCGCTAAAAAGTTAGCAGAAATCATCTTCCCACCTCCTGCCCAGGACTCTAGCTTTAGACACTCTGACTACTTCAACTTATAAACCAATGTACATAATCTTTAGAATTTTAAGTTTTGAAACTATTGTATATAAGAGTACTTAAGTTCCATTAAACCTTTTACCCCAAAGAATCCAAAGAACTTCAAATCAACTTAAAGTGGCATATTATTTCCTGAGTATAGCATAGCCACAGGAAATTACTGTAAGGTATTAAAAAAATTTTTTTTGAAAAGCACACATTTAGCACATACTTACAGCTAGATGATATTTGACATAATAGTGAATAAACCAGAGAGGGATAAGTATATGAGAAACGGCAAAGAGACTGGACCGGTATGTCTTAAAGACCTGTGGGGGGAAAACACAGCACACAAAATAAACAAATATGCTCTTTTAAATGTTTCATTTCTTAGATTTATTTACTTTATGTGTGTTAGTGTTGTGTCTGCATGTGTGCATGCATGCATGTATGCATGTGTGCCACGAGTGTGCCTGGTGCTCTTAGAGATCAGACAGAAGAACGCACTGGATTCCCTGCAACTACAGTTGCAGACAAGTTTTCAGCCACCATGTGGGTGCTGGGAAGCAAAACTGGGTCCTCGGCAAGAGCCAAGTGGTCTTAAGTACTCTCCATCTCACCCATCCCTCATTTTTACTTTCCATTAATTTATTTTGAGACAGGGTTCCTCTCTTTAGCAATGGCTAACCTTACTCAACCATGTAGCCCAGCCTGGCCTTGAATACACAGCAGTCCTTACTCAACCTCTGGAGTTGCTGTGATTACCAGCATGTGCTAATTACTATGCCTAGCATGAGATACCTCATTTTTCAGTGTGTGCAGAACAAAAAGAAAAACAAAACCACCAACAAGAGTGTGATAATTACTTTACAAACTTCTAAATGGAATGTATTTCCTGACAGATTGGTGCTAACCTACTTACTCCAATATTTTCACTACCTCTGGGACTTTGGGACATCCATAGACTCCAGAGCAAACAAGGCTTAGGATGAATTACATTTTGCAAGACTTCGAGACAAGGTTTAAGATAAATAACATTCTGCAAGATAGAAGGCATTCATGTTCAAGAAAAAAAAGCAAGGTTTCTTACTAAAGTATTCTAAACTCACTGAAATCTCTCCTGGCACACCTTTTTAAAAGGGAAAGTCAACAGACAAAAAAAAAAAAAAAAAAAAAAAAAAAAAAAGGTGGGGGAAGCATATCTATGGCATCTAATTTGACTAAAAAAAATACCCTTTCAGAAGAAAAACAACCTAGAATTTATGAATTATAGCAGATGATTATAGAAGAAAAAAAATCAACCATTCAAAGCAAGGTAAGACAAAAAATCAACAAATGATTCCTTCCTTAAATCACTGGCTAAAAGTTATCAACTTGCCACCAGGTAATGCCAGATACACAAGAAGGAAGAGACAGCTTGAATTAGCGTTGAATTTCACTACCTTAAGTATGTGATACCCTTTTAGACTAATTTCTGTTGCACTACATTTTGTAGCACAGTAAGATAGTAGATCATATGTGGATTTCAACATGAATTCCTTGGAGTGACCAGGAGCAAATCCTTCAATTATTTCTTTAATGTTTCTCTTTCCTCGCAATTAAAATGAGAATTGGAAACCCTTTTTTACCACTTAGGAATAAAGAAATTAGTAATGCATACAAAAACCTCAGCAGAATACTAGGTTCGAAGACAGCATGAACCCACTGTTATTATTATTATTGGAAGTCATTGAAAGCAATTACTCATCACGGGTATGACTTAATTAACAGACCCCAGGAACCCTTAAAATAAAAATTATTCCTACATTGGATGATTTTTCTGCCTGGCAAAGTCGAGGAATGCAACTTAAAAGCACATAAAACCGTGCTCAAAGTACATAGTGAGGCATAGAAAGGGGAGTTTTGGAGTCTGACAAAGCATTCCAAATAGAACCCAGTCTGTCTGTACTACACCAGTTAGCCCTCTAGCAGTTGAATACAGTGTTAGCCGGTCTCTATCACCTCAACCTCACAAAACGCGTACGTGTTAAAATCACAGCCTATGAACATCAGTGAATTCTGGCCTGTTACTTACTCTGAGGGAAGGTATCTACAATCCAAAGAACTACATGAGCTAAAAACCTAGTATCTGACTTCTCAGTACACCTGACAGCCAAACAGGATCACCCCCTCCCCAAACCAACCCATTCTCGATCCCAACCCAGGACTCCGGTGATGTGTCAGTCTCTGCAAAACCTGAGACCCCGGACTGTCTCTGAGGGCTCTCCCCAGCACAAACAGGGTCGGGCCTTGATGGGACTGAGAGGAGCGAGGTGGGAGGGTGGCTGGGCTGCGACCCGGCGTGCGAACTGGGACGTGTGTGGCTCATCACTCACCATGTTCTTCCACGGGGCCCCGTCCCGCAGAAAGTTATTCCAGAACGCCTCCAGGGGCCACATCTTGCGCGGTGGCAACACGGGCTCCCGAGGGCTCAGCTCCTGGTCCTTCAGCCATTGCCTTCTCAGCACCCGCAGCTGCTGCAGCCGCAGCTTCTCATCCGGTGTGTACCCCGTCATGTCGCCGGGGAGCCTGCCGTAGAGACACGGAGTGCACCTGAACGCGGGCCGACCACTTACTAACGTTCCCGCTCCTCAAAGCGACCTTGAAGGCCCCTGGGAGCGGCGCGATGCGATGGCGTCACACAAAAACCACGGTGGGAGGGTGGGACTGTACTCCTTTGCGGAAGTCAGGATCTGCTCATGCGCAAAAGCCCTTTCACCGACCCTGGTTCTTAAAATTCCGGTTTAAGAGCAAGCTCGGGCAGGTCCCTTAGTTATTAATTAAATGGAACCGGGAAGGGGGCGGAGGAGGGGCGGGGTATAGAAAGTGTGAGAGGTCCTGAAGCTGGAGTTAAAGAAAGAACTTGTCGGGCATGCTGTTCTTTGCTGCAGCTTCAGGCGATGAAACACGATCCACCTAACTTAACAAACCCACTTGGAGTTTATTGGGAAAGGGAGGGAAGTGAGGAATAGATGTTAACCTATCAGGAGCAGAAATGGAAAGAAAGAGAACAGCCGGGAGGCACTTACTTAAAAAGGGAAAGGGAGCAGTTTAGAACGAAACTCAGCAGTTGGGGCAATTGAAACATGGAGCTGCCATTGGCCCAACTCTGCATGGTTTCTGCATGCAGAGTCCTTATGCAACTACCTAACACATGCAACACGTAGCCATGCAACCTTTGACAGCCTTTGAGCTGTCAGCGAGGAGCCATCATCTGTCAAAAACAGATCCCAGAGTGAGGGAAGATCGCCCAGAGACCGTTAGAGAGGTCCAGAAGAGGGCTGGCGGAGTGACAGACGGGTGCTATGGAGAAACGGGGGTGGGAGGGGGTGGGAGGGGTGAGAAGGAGAGAAGTCGGGAGCAGGAACAAGGCCAGGTTATCCAGACAGGGGAAAGGGAGAAGCCAGGATATCAACAGGGCAGGGGTTGGGAAAGACAAGGACATAAGTTTACAGAACCGCCCAGCCCTCTTGAGTTCCTCCCTTCTTGACCTATTGCTTACAAGTTCAGCTCCTAGTCCGTTTGTAACCCCTTAAGTGATTTTTAGCCGCTATCTCGGTTTCTTCCTTCATCTGTACTACAGAAACAAAGAACTTTATTTAAGAATATTACATAGGCCGGTTCACTCTTTGATCCAGCCGTCCCCCCCCCCCACTTGTAAGATATCCATCCCAAAGATAAGGTGATAAAAATTTGTAGGGATATCACGACACAATTTGTAGTAGCAAAACCTTAGAAATCACCTCCCAGATTCCTCAATAGAGGATTGGTGGAAAACTTTACGGTACTACGACCATTGTATAGCTAAGCTTTCTATTCACAGCTGTGGAGTGACTCCTGCAATCTATTGTTAAGGCAAGTAAATAAATAAAAGCACCTATACCCACTAGAAAGAAGAGTATATGGTATGCTACCTTTACCCAAAAGCAAGATGAGTAGCGGTGATACTAAATATACATACTTGTTCAATGAAGGGGTTTTTGTTTTGTTTTGGTTTAGTTTTTCAAGACAGGGTTTCTCTCAGTAGCTTTGGAGCCTGTCCTGGAACTCTCTCTGTAGACCAGGCTGGCCTCAAGCTCAGAGATCCACCTGCCTCTGCCTCCTGAGTGATAAAGGCATGCGCCACTACTTCCTGGCTTCTTTCTTTCTTTCTTTCTTTCTTTCTTTCTTTCTTTCTTTCTAAATAATATAAATGAAAACAAATTCGGTTTGTATTTGTTTTTGGAGACAAGGTCTGATGTAATGTAGGCTAGCTTTGAACTTACTGTTTAGGGGAGTCTGGGCTTGAACTCCCAATTCTTGTCTCCACTACTCATGAACTGGGATACACCAGTATGCTCAACTTAATAACAACTGCTTTTGGTGGAAGAGCTGGCCCTTATGTAATAAGAGCAGGAGAGCTGTCCCTGCCCCTCATCTGCTGCAGCACTAGGGAGAGTGGCCCCTACATCTCACCTAGGCAACATGGTAGAGTTGGTCCTGAAGGTGTAGGTATGGAAGAAATGACCCTGAGGACTTAAAAGCTTGAGAACTGGCTCTGCCCCTTGCTTATAGCTGCAAGGGTGAACTAGCTGAAGAGCTTACCCTGGTGGCAAAGATATAGGAGATGGAGTGGACTGACTAACCCTACAACTACCCAGTCCAAGAACCAGGGTTATATGTGGGCCTACCTCAACATCCACCAGGTCTGTGATCTGCCGAAGCATGGGGGTGGGATGTTGATCCTGCGGACCCAGGGCTACAGGATCTCTAGGCACAGGGCAAGGATGTCCAGGAAGAGTCTCAGTGAGAGCCCAGCATCGATGGTGCAGCAGAGACCAGGGGTCTTGAACCAGACCAATGATTCTTTGCGATACATGCCTATGTGTTAAAATATATGGATAGAGGGGTTTACTGCGTGACTCACTGTGTCACATTGCAGCTTCCATGACGAGATGTTCCCCTTCTTCCTTTTAATCTTAAATTTGGTTGTGTTTTATTTGGGGGAGGAGGGAAGACAAGTGGGATCAGGAGGCATATTGTGAAAGACAAAATAATAAATGTTAAAATTGATTTTAAATAGGACTGCTTTTAAAACAACAATATTATATAGAGAGAATAGGCTAGAGACATAAGTGGAAGCTAGAGAGTTGTAGAGATGATTTAGGAATACATACTGCTCTTTCATAAGACCCAAGTCAGAAGAATCTGATTATTTACATCGTGGAGCTTCTGGGAACAGCACTCCAGAAGACAGGAATATGATCCATAAGGTTTTCCCTAGCATACACACCATTAGCACAAATTAGAAGGTTCTAAGACTAGTAGGCAACTAGCAGGTTTCACAGATCAAAGACAGAAACATTTCAGCATCAGTGAGTATGAACTGAGTGATTTTAAAATGTAAAATACACCACATGCACGAAGTCAAATATTTTATTGAAACCTCATTTGTGACTTTTGGATGCCAGTAGGAACCATCATACTTTGAAATCTGGTAAGAAAAAAAAAATCAGTCTTTTTTTTCTAATTTTTTCTGTACACATTGCCTGTTACAGTAACAAAGAGCTTACAGGGACATTTTCTTCAAAGAAGTACTTTAATATCAAACACAGGAGGAACTGGCAGGCCATTCTACAACCCTTCATTAACCAGTCTGTGCAGGGATTGTCCCTCTGTAGATGTGGGCTGCTCAACGAGGGTTGCGCCCTCTTGTGGACATCTGTCTTGTTGCCTATAAAATAGGCTTGCCAAAGTCTGGAGCTGACTCTACTGTATAGGACATGCAGTGGAGGAAACAGTGAGTTAGAAATTGGTGTGTGATGGGTAATTCGGGCTCACTGTATTCCTTTCTTCTAAACTTTTTTTGTTTACACTTGAAATTCTCTTAAAGTTTCAAAAAAATCTGTGCCTGAAGTATTGAACCACCATTTAAGCTATTATTAATCTTCGGGCCCTTCAAATAAAAGTTTTCTTATCTATAGACCTCAACTCTGTTACAGCGGGATCCGAATAGTTAAGCCTCAAGTAAGAGTAAGTCTCCGGGAGCCTAACTGCCAGGTTCTGCCTCATCTCCGACTCAGGACCTGAGACTGCTAAGAGGCTTGGGTTCTGCCCATCCACTAGGTGGGCTGCACACAAGTAGCCCCAAACAACTTGATCTGTCTTTATTTATACTTTAACACTGTTTTTTGTTTTGTTTTGTTTTTCCTACCAGGCTTAAGTGAACAGTTTTATTATTGGCTCCTATTTCTGCTTTTAAGAAATACATTGTAGTCATCACAAAAGCTCCCATTGTTCCCCTTTATGCTTCCCCAAATACACTTTCCCATCCCCTACATAACCTTATTCTAGACATAGAGTTCAGCATTTTTGCAGGCTTAACTAAATATCGAGCCAGACACATCCTGCTCTCAGAGAACTTATGTCAGCTGGCAGCTACTTACGGTTACAAAGTTAAAAATGGGTACATTGCTTTAAGGGTAACAATATTCAAACCAGAACAATTCTTTCATGTCTGTAAGATGTGCTTGTATGCAGTTGCCTTTTCTCAATCTCCTATAAGAGTCAGACTTGTTTAAGGCAGTCCTTTTCCATCCCATTATACCACACTTCTCCCACATAAGCTCCTGTGTAGGGTAAAGATGGCTTTTTCCATCCCATATTTTACATTGCATTTTTCCCATTCGGAATATACTAGATTTTACCATTGACTCTATATGCTTGGCAGCCAGGAGACTTACTCTCAACAGTTGTCACTATTTGTATTCCTGAGGCTTTGCCCCTATTCTGTGTATGCATGCCCTACTCTCCCTTCCAGAGCCATGAGACATGGTTAATGCTCCAAGTGTTGTTTTCTCACAAGTATCTAACTGTCGCTATTGAGTCAGAAAAGTTTCCAGGATTAGGAGTTGCAATTAGTAATGCCAGGGAAGAGATTTGAGAAGCATTAAGTGCTGATTCTAAGGGGAAACTTTTCTAGAAAGAACGGAATTTCCAGGAAAAATTGCAGCTCTTGCATGTATGACTGACAAAGTGAAACTAAAAGCCACCTAAAGAATCAATAATATAATGAGAAAGAAACGAACCTGCAAGCTGCATGAACTTTGCAAATTTTGCACAGAATGCTGGAGGCCATGGGATGTTCTGGCTCACTGTTTGAATAAGGATTTGGCAGTCATTCAGATGCAGGGAAGTGGTGACTAGTCACTCGATATCACATGCCACAGCACATAGATTCCGTTTTTATACACAGTCCCTAGCAGCAGTTCATCTGCCAAATGGGTAGGCAACACGGAGAAGTGATGTTCCTTGGCTATTAAGTATTTGCTAACATTTGTTTCAGGTTGCTGAATAATGAATCAGTTAAAATAAGTGTCATTATTCATAAAGAAAAATGTTAGCAACCCTCAGCGACTCAACCATCAGGTGAAAAACATCAATGTAATGAAAGATTCCCCAAAGACATCTTCCCCAGGCTCAGCCTGAATTTTTTTGTTGTTGTTGTTGGATCAAAAACATATCCATACTCAGGACAGAAGAGATGGCTCAATGTGGAAAGGGCTAGAGTTAGAATCCACGTCACCCACACAAATGTCTGCTGGACATGATGGCCC